CGCGTTGTGTTTCTGTTTCTATTTTCTTCATTAAATGAAGAAATTTTCTGGTCGTCAAGCTGCTTTTCTTTGTTCAATTCATCTAATAAACTTGGATCTATATTTGCCAGCCATTCTGACTCTTCGTCATCGGAAATATGATTCAAATTGTCCGCCACTTTTTGTTTTTTTTCGTAACTACAATCCAATTCTTCACTTCCGCGATGCGAGAAAACCTGTTTAACCGGTACTCTACAATAGACGAGTACAAATACCGCGTGATATTTGTACTCTTCTTTGGCGTTATTTGTACTCGTCTAAGAGTAGTTGGATAATAAATAAGAATATCTTTACAGTAGCTTAAATATAGTTTCAGAGAGACCCTCGAATTTAGTTTCACAGAGCCTTGGAATGTAGTTTCACAGGGCCTTAGAATGTGATTCACCCTAAAGTTAAAGTAACCTTCAGGTGTAATTTAGTTGAGTTTGTGCTTCCCTCCTGTACTGTTAGACTTAGAGAGGGCTAAAGAGCTAAAGAACTTGCTCCTGGCAAGGTAGGATTGTTCATGGTGTTTTTTACCTTAAGTACATGTGCTTGGCCCTTTTATTGATGAATCGCTTTTAATCGCTTGGCATTGTTATCTAGAGCGTAAAACCCACAAACTCACGACGTGGTCATTGTTTTGTCAGCTCGCTTCTGCATTTGCTTTTCCGTAGTGAAAAATTGGGAAATTTCGTTATTTTGTTTGATTGCATTTCTTACATTATTTTAATCTGTTGTTATTGTGGCTGTAGATGCACGTTTGTTCCAAAACGTGCCCACTCCATTGGTTTTTTTGTTCGCACAATTTTCGCACAGTTTGGCGTAAATTTCAATCAGTTTATTGCAAAACAACCTCTGTTCCTTTTTAAACTCTTGCTGTTGGGCTATATTTCCTTACTTTTGTTGTCGCGTCTCGTTAGTTTTGTTTCACTCTAGTCATAATTTCAATTTCATAGTTTTCCATTTATTAGTTCAGAACTATTTGTTCGCGAATTATATATTTAGTGCTTTTCTCTTCCATTTAATGTTCTTAGAGTCACTGAACATTGCATACTTGTATGTAGAATCCTCTCGTTGTTTAGTTGTGGTCGTCGTACACGCTTTTGCTGTGGCGTTTTTCATCGTTCTCAGCCGTACAGTTTATCGATCACGCGAACCGCATGTGCCACACGCGTCGCGTAATTTCGTCATTCGCTCTCGAGTTTCCATTTGTCACCTCCAGTCTAATGCTATCTTTAAACGCGCCTTTTCTGTTCATGTTTACTTTATTGCATATAATGCCCAGTTCAAACGTCGAATTTTACATGTGCTGAACTTAACTCCAATTTTAGTGAACTAAAATAGTAAAATTTAACTCTGTTCGCTGTCAATATTCCCAGGTACACTACTTATTTGCTAAACGAAGACGTCCATTGAGCGTTTTCTTATTGCTTTACTGATTCTTTTGTTCTGCTGTTTGTTTTTGCTCCGTCTTCTTGGCTTTTGTTCATAATACTTTGACTTGGTTCATGTTCCATCATTTCATTAAAACACGACTCATAATATGCCACAGGTTTTCCTACTTTTCACCCAGGAGTGTCCTCTTCGTTTTTGAAAACTGAACACCCCATACAAAAGTAATTACCGCACGTCAAACAAGGATATTTTGTGTTTGCAAAGCAAGAACTCCAAATTCCCTCGTGTCCCGCCATTTTTTTGCGTTGTTTTGGCTTTTTCGCGCATAGTATTTATAGGAATTCTGGCGCATTAATGTGAGCAATAAATGATTCATAATAATTTCCTATAATTCATGCATTAAGTTCGGCACATGTGAGATGCGACGTTTGAATGAAAAGTCAAACCTAAGTGGAATCTTCGACTGTTTCAGTCGCAGATATGTCAGAGGTCCCATTTAATTGGAAACAGTCGAATTCAATTGATTGAAACATCGCACTTCACATGCATTTAACTCTCGCATTGAGTTCGGCACATGTGAAATTCGACGTTTGAACCGGGCCTAAAGTATTAGATTATTTTGTATCATATTTTGGTAACATCTGTTAGTTGTTACAGTTTATTTTATACTATTTACCGCCCTTTACTCTATTTTGGGTGTGTCTCGTGTGATTTGCCTACTGTTTTTCTGTTAGCTTGTATTTACAATAAATTACTTTGGAAATCCTTGAATCTTCTCCGTTCCTACTCACTCGACCGCTGTATCCTGTTACACAATTGTTGTCGGCGTGGTTTCGTAAAACATGACTAAGGATCTTTTTTGCTCGTTGTATGAACTCCCAGTGCACCAAGTAGAAGTGTGTATCCCCGTCGGGTTTGATCAAGTTGTCGAGTGTTACAGATGACGATAAATCTTTTCACTGCCAAGATCTCAGTAGCAATTCTCCTTACTGTCTGCCATGCAATTCTTATGATGTTGGATGGAAGAATTTGGTATTGGATCAACTAATAATCCCCTGATTGACACTTTTCAGGAGGCATCTTGCCACGGAAATTGCATAAGGATTAAAGTGAAATCCCACAACACGAAGTACTCCTTGAAAAATGTCGTCGGCAATTACATATGAAAGTAGCGCGCAAATGTTCTTTCAGGAGCAACCCCGGTGGAGAATTTCCCAGTAAGTGTCGGGACTTTGAACTGCACACCCTCCCCCCCATGACAATATGACTCAATTTGCAATTCAGATTTTGTCGCAACACGGCAACATCAATAGACGGCAACAAAAGACTTACATTAACTATAACCAACACAAAAGTAGTATCTTATCTGGGTGACAGGAAAAATGGCTAATTTAATCATGCACATCTACGCTTAGAAAAGATATCCGTTAAGGTATCCTAGGGTAGACTGGGATAGTGAGAGCCGGAAGCTGGGGAAACCGTGTGTAAGGGCAGCTTGTGTAATTATCATGATCCGGATCTCTTTTATGCTCCTTTGGTAGTCACTCCAGTTTACTGAGCAGCTCTCAACGTTCCTCATCAAAATGTCGCTTTCGCTGGGTTCGTTCCTTACACTGTCCACTAAAAGTACTCCGATAGTATTTTTTATCGTTCCTGATCGGTTGATAAAAGCTGACACACTATAGAAAGATTAACCGTTAACTGAATAACAGGAGAGTAAAATCAGTGAGAGGTGGTTGGAATTTCTTTCTCAGCCTCAATACATGCCGCACCTGACGAGCTTCACTTTGCATCACTTTCGGAATTTGACGCTTGGACCGAGTTTAAAACAGCTGCTCAGGACTGATGATACAACAACACATCAATTAGGTAATACCGCATTTCCTAGAATAAGCACCTAGGGGCGTATTTAAAATTTCGGCCAAAGAAGGTGGAAAACTGATGTCGATGAAGTGGTTGGTAGGCTCGAAAATACCATCCTAGGGCACCTGGATAGCTGCATGCCTCTGAAAACGGTGCGCATGTCTTCAAGAGACCCGGGCTGGATGACTCCGCTCGTTCGATCGATGATACGAGCCAAATCACGCATATCACTCAGTAATCAAGACCGTCTTAAAGTTATGAATAAAAGGATCTCTGAAGTGATTTTCAGAAACAGAAGGGACTTTATCGCCTCTATTGGAACTCGGGATTGGTGGAAAAAAGTGGATAAAACATCTCAGCGCCGCAAGCCGGTGATTTCTCTATCTCTTGGCCACTACGAACTCAACGCGTTAAATGACTACTTTGGTGACCTATGTACTGACCACGCCTACAGAAAGCCAACTGGAG